GGGGACGGCCATGATTAACCTGGTGGAAATATACGAATGGAGCTTGCTCTAGACTCCGGTTATCTTCTGCCGAAGCTTTAGCTGGCACGGGATCGAGAGTATGATATGCACTGTCTGACGCGTCTGCTTCCGCGACCCGAAAGTAGAAGCGGTCGTGGTAGGTGAAGATATCCATGATGTGAATCCCATTGTGAAGAGCAAAAGTCTTTGAAGGTGTGTTATGCAAATCTGTGGATCTGCTATAGTTTTATAGAAGAATGCACTGTTGGACTATGATATCTAATGTATATCTGCACTACAGCGTATGCCCAGTGAAATAAAACAGTACCGGAGAGCGCACTTTCTCCAGTGTATAGCGGCTAGCAACATTAATCGGCTAGGCTATGATCTTTCTATTCATATGTGCTGATCCAGAAATATCGTTTCTGCAAAATAATACGATTCCGAGAGATCGTTTGTTGTTGTACGCCAAGCCGTCTATTCTCTAAAGTGAGGATAACAACTACTCAGCTTATCAGGTGAATCATACCGGCAGAAATTTTATCAGTAATCTTCAACTCAGAAGTTCGCAACGGCAGCTGTAAACGACGTGCTAATCTGATCTACCAGATCTCAGAGCTTGTGTGCATTAAGGGAGTGATCATCCATTTGTTACCTAATGTCCCCTAGTTTTGGTCAATATCCAAAGATAGCTACGTTTTATGCGAAAATTTTCCTCATGCTCCCTGATACTCGATCTCAGCTTATTGTATAACATATTCTGATAAAATCATTTTGTCGTACTCGAAATTTCCTCTAGGAGCACTAAAACTGCGCAGTTAAAACACATAATAAACTAGGAAAAGTGCGCCGTGCTGGTCGCAAAACCAAGTTGAAAAGCAGGAGAACTGAGGACCGTGGCTGGGTCTCCGTCAAATTTAGTTACCTGCCGCTCATCTAACATTAGGCTGGTTCGGTTGTCACCCGACTCAGCAAATATATCATATCGCGCAGGCTGGGAAAAATCGGCGATCAGAACTTGATCATTGCCCTCTGGCAGCCGAGGCATAGCAGCACGAAAGCGGCTACCGAAGATCAGCAAGAGCATGACGAACATGCCATGCCAGTCATCAACGGAGTAGCTACCCTTTCTGATCTGAAAAGACAAAAAGTGATACCACAATATAGGGTCAGACGCGGATCCGCGGGAATGACACTAAGAGATGATACTAACTGTCAGAAATTTCAATATAACCTCACTAGAGGGAAAGAATAGCAACTGGTCGATGCGGCCTAAAGGAACCAACTCGACAAGTTGAACTGTCGTCAATGAAGCGCCAACTCTCTGGAATTCTTAACCTCTGCAGGTAGAATAACCACCTCAGGTGACAACGTTGTTGGTGTTATAGTAGAACCAGTCTTACTGCTAGAATTATTCAATCAAAGCCTGTCTGCGGAGGAGTGGGAATCATCCGGCAAAAGTTACAAGATTAAAGCCTTAACCTTGTTGCAGGTCCATGTGCCCAATTATGAGGTTGCTTTCGTAGACTATTTGGACGTGTCGCCCAAACATGTTCCAATGGTTAGTACTTCATCCGCCTACTCTTTAGCATGTGTTCACATCTCGGAAATTGTACTATATTTGATGGAGCCTTTCTCGTAAAAGTTATGAATGGCGATGACTTCCTGTCATCTGCAGTACATGCCAGCATAAAGGTAAGGTGTGACTTCTCGTATCCAGTTGCACGCAGTTCTTATGCCTCTGGTGTCTTCGGTTTTGTCGTAGGGCATATTAAAAGTCAGCGGTGCTTGCTCGCGTTTCCAATCTGTGCAAGGTCATAGATATGTTCATTTCTCATCTTGATGATAAATTATTGGAACGCCAGGACCTTTTCTCGTGGTCTTCTGAAATATGCTGCGGAATGGTAGTTTTTCTACGGATTAAAAGACCCGCATCACACAATGTGAACTGCCCATTCACATGACACTAAATTCTGTTGTGTCCGCAATAAATTTTTTGTCTGGCTCTAGTCCAAGAAGCCTCTCATGCATTGTTGCCTCCTATCTACTGCCTACTCCATCAATGCTTTTCTATGTGTAGAAAACTTCATGGTGGCCCACGATTCATTTTTTTTCTTGCTAAGCGACACTTGCAACACCTCTGTTTTTCACCATAACTGGATGTTTGCCTCGTTAATGGAAATATGACGACTTGCTGCTCGACTGCCATCAGATATACATATTTTGCTGCTATCCTCGAATTATTTTTAGGGTTTTAATTAATAAATCGACACACAACCAAACTAAATATTGACACAAGCGCAATTAATCAGTTGACCCTGAACATGATAAAGCTTATTGAGGAAAACCTTCTTCTGCAAAGGCATAGCGACGAGTATGGGTGAGTCAAGCCAAGCTCTATCGAGCTCCCCACTACTCAAAAGGACAATAGCAGGGGACGCGGTCACGAAGCACTATTGCCATGAGTGTGAAAGGCATCTTGCAACAATTTCTTGCATCTGTACGTGCACTTATTCAATATTGAAAATGATTCAGCTTTTTGTACATAAGTATAATACGCGCTCCCATTATAATGGGCTGAAATGACAAAAAGTTTTGGATATTATACTGAAGATTTTACGGCAAACGTTGAAAGTCGAAATTAGAAGAAACGGCCTCATCTATTTCAACATGACGTTGTTCCGGTTTTCTGCAAAAACGATCTGCGTGTCATGAACACCTCCTTCGAGCTTCGAAGCGTGCGCTAGAATACCTGATACAGAAGTTGATTATCGATCTGATAATCGTATCGTCTGACCTACGGATTTCCTCAGTGATGGATGTTCGTGTTAAAAGAGGTGCAGAGCTATCAACAGATCATCGCCTTGTTTTTTGCACGCTGCGCTGTAAGAAATGGAGTACCATACGAAGATCCGGTTGCAGAAGCAACCGGAGAATCAAATGG